AAAAACGCGTTTTGGTTCCGCTAGTATACATTCCATCCCGGTTGTTAGGTGTTTAATTTGTGCTACGAAAATGGAAAGGATGGCGGAACCATTTGATCAACTGATGAAGCCCAGGGTTTCACCACCGGAACGAAACCAGGCTGAGATAGCGTCTCGAGTAATCCCTATAAATACTCCATCCAAGCTGAAGAAAAGAGCCAGGAGTCCAATCCTCATTTCAAGGGCGCAGTTTCCGATTTTCCTAACTCACTTTACTTCTTTAGGTGGACAATCCGTTTACAGCTTACTTGCTTGCACTTCCTCACAGGGTGTCACAACCACTAATTCAGTCACAAAACGGGAGCTCCAAAACTACAGTCGGTCCACAAGAAAAATAGCTGCTAATCATGCGAACCAGCCCTTGATAAAAACGCCGGAAAAACGCTAGTGTCTCCGCTTACGGGCCTGTGTAAAACTGAGGTGTCGCAGCACGGATTAATATCGCCAGTGCTCTTAAGCCGATAACAATCAGGCGCAACCGGTGGCCTTACATTTTGTGTGCACTAACTTTTCCGAAGCCAGATCAAATACAATAAGGGGTAAACTGATAGATCGTAAACAATGGGATTCCACTTGTAATGTTGCCGGTGTCCTTGCTGACACAGCTACAATGAACCGCATCGCGCATCGTCCAAATTCGAGTAACAATCAATTCCGCGGATGAGACGGTTATCATTGTTACCTGTGTACCTAACCGCAATGTATCAAGCGGAGAGCGCATACTGCCAGACGTCTAGTGGGAAGAATATTCAAATGACACGAAGAACCTAGGGGGAGTCCAAAAGCAATGGTAAAAAGACCGTCATTGTTCATGGTGTCCTCATGCTTCCTCCTTTCATTAAGCTCAGACACATGACCGGGAGCAATGACATTACGTCCGTGAGGCACGCTCTCTCTCCGTCCAGTACCGACTATGACTTCTGACTGCACTCATTAATGCTACCAACTGCTTATTTCTCGCTGGTGGGATTTTGTTAGTCATCTTAAAAAGTAAGTAAGCCTATCGCGGGACAAGCGCCGCGTTCGATGAGAGCAAAGCCATTCACACAGAGCATGACGCAGAAGTGTGAGGTCATTCGAGACATACGGCAAAGTGCAAGGAGTCACCAGGCGGAGAAACTTGGAAAGTCTACAATGCTCGAAAAAATCATTGCGTGAACCTGGTACGCAAAGACAAAGTAAAACAACACTATCTAGCCGAGAAATTGTTCAAATGCGTCGACAAACTCCGTAAGGTGCAGCGAGGGATTCCTGTTCTATAGACGTCATGGGACAAGCACAAGCTTCAAATTGTGACGCGCAATCTAATCACACGAGTACGTCAAATGACTCTCCAATCAGTCATTCACCGTTGTGCCAAGCGTTGACCGTCGCGACCAGGCGGCTAAAGGGGGGAGAGATTCCAAGTAACATCCTAATAGTCCCGAGTTCGATGCCTCCTATCTCTACCCGATGAGATCAAGCAAGGTGGGAACGCGTGGCAGAGTGCAGCGATTCCGGACGGGAAACACACTATTTCCGTCTGTTCACACATTATTTTGTGTTTGTATGCAAATGACATTTCACATAACCGTTATGCAGCAGCAGATCTAAGTCAATAGACGTGTAAATTGATGATATACATCCATTGATCCTTTAGTTTTCACTTCAACCATCCTACGGCACTTATCAAGCACCTGGTAATTTGCTCGTGAAAAGTCAGTATTCATTGCGGGTGGATGTCATCGGAGAATGGCGAGAACTAATGTCATTAAACGCTCATAATTGGCAGTCCTGTAACATTGCTTGTGATTTGTTGTCGAAAAGGCTCGGTGACTCTCCAACTGCTAATAGGCACTAGCTTCGGGGACCACGCCATACCTGGATGGTAGGACAGTAAAAGTGGTGACAGCGGAAAATCTCTTCGGCTCGTTAGACGGAGTGCTTAACCACATTCAGCTATACTGTTACCAAAAACGGAAAGCAAATGTACATTTTTCACGTCGACAATGAAACACACTCTCATCTTTGGTATGGACGGTCGTTGACTCAGCCTAACCAGCACAACAGCTGTTCGGAGAATTCAGCTACTGAATTCCAACCGCTGCGGATTTTCAGTCGCCCAAACAATCACTGCGGTGCTCTCTGCTCGAAATGTGCCACCTGAACAAGACAGTTACCAGTTGGGATCTACTGGAGTAACGCAACTTCCGGGCATGCGGCTCCAGCACCGGAATGGCAAGCGATATCGCATCGCCGGGTAAGCGCAAAGTGAGATGGTCACTTGATCTCGTTAACTATCGTGCTGAATTCTACTGGAGAATTTCTGTTACACGATTACGGATACTAGAGCTGACAGGGTGCGGCGGAAGTAGGCGTTTGAAGGTAAATCCACTGGTGCATGTTGAACTCGAGTCACGTGCACAAGCAAAATCACTCTCCGGTGTGCGCTAACTAGCAGGTTGCTCAGTCGATGACTTGATCAAACTAATGCGTCCTGTCTTCCCGGATGAGAACTCCGCAATAGGCGGCATCAGTGGTTGGACAATGTGCAAGGTATGCCGTGGTCACAAAGTCGGCATCACCTTGTGTATGAATTATGCCCCTGATCCGAAAAAAAACTTTCATTTGACGATCGTAAAGGTTCTCTTACACTACTCCCAACTCACATTCGACTACTCATTTTAAACTTGCGTTAACTGCCGTTACAGTGATGCGACAAAGCAACTAGTCCCACGCGCTTAGGTTTACGGATTAAATCTGACCAGAACCATCTGATTCTACTTGCTTCATTTATTCCCATCTGCTTCGCCATCGTAGCATGACACTAGAACGGTAATATTGGGAAATGGTCGTTGGATCAAACATGAGTGATTGTTTAAGTGAACACTTGACGTAGAAATCGTGATTTGTGCAGCTAAAGATATAGGGTGTTGCTGTCGAGGAAACAGGTGTCGATTCCGAAACGGCCTCAACAACAGCACTGACTCTACGGAGCCATCAAATAAGTCACCATTTTCCCAGTACATCTTCAATAGCTGGGTTTCTAACCGTTCGGACGGGAGACAATAGATCTCACATTTGAAGGACCTAATGACGCCGTCAGCAAGTGCAGAACAAAAACCATTCGGGCAACTAGTTAGCACCTCAGGTCGAATCCAGCAAAACCGAGTACCGAATAAATGTCAGTACACCTGAACGCACACGCGTGCTTAGCTCGATTTCGACATAACAAACGCTTAAATCCATAGGCACTGAAACACGGAAAACGTGAAGATGCTGGGTGGGGTTGCAACTAAGCTGTGTCTCCAAACCAAGATCTATAAACTTCAAGAGAATGAAGGGAACGTCTGTAGCCCCACTGGTCGGAAAAAAGAACAGAAATTAGCGCAGTATAATTTCTTACCAACTAAACCAAGAGCAAAAAATGCGACAGATGTTAGCTAGAAAGAGCGGAAACAACCTCGGCGGCTGAGCGATAAACGGCAGTCGATGAAGACCGAAGAAGTAAAATCAGGACAATATAGTGAGCCCATATTTTTCCGATAAGCGCTCTGAATCCCGATATACAAAAATGAGTACGAGCAGGACGACAGTAGCTGTGTTCCTGGACTTCAAAAATGCGTTCGATTCAGTTGATCGATGCATTCTGTTCGAAATACTTGTGCAGAAATGTGTTCCCATGAAATATGTGAATATTTTACGTGGTTTATACCCGAACACCACAGGTCGCGTCAGGATCTACGGTGATTTGTCGGATACCTTTCCGACAACAAGTGACATTCGTCAGAGCTGCCCAATTTCCCTATTTTTGTTCAATTTCGTCGTCGACTCCATCATGAAGTGTTCCCTTGAGGAATCTCACGACGTAGGCGTTGAGGTGCTAACTGGTGAAAGGTTAGTTGATCTTGATTATGCGGACGATACTGTTCTGCTTTTTAAAGGTATTAGAGCGGCGCAATCAACCCTGAATAACCTCTCCAGAGTGGTCCCATCATTTGGCATGCGCTTCACACCTACAAAGTACTGTTACAGGACCACCAGCCATTTTATGCCCCTTTCACCCCTAATGCCGAGGAACTCGCTTACCTTGGCAGCTGCATCACCAACGATGGGTGCATAGCTACTGAGGTCAGTTCACGTATTGCAAAGGCCAGAACTGTCTTCTTGAATCTGCGGCATCTTTGGCAACAGAAAGGACTCCCTCGGTCTGAAAGACCGTGTCACAGTGAGGACCGTCCTATTCCATAAGAATGAGACTTGGCTCCTCCGATCTGGTGCGTCTTCAAGTCTTTGATCATCGTTGTCTGTGAAGCATTGCTGGTGTCGGATGGCACCAGCATGTCAACAACGACATGTGCGTAGGCGAGTACTAGGTAGTGATAATCATGCTAGCTCCCTAAAACAACAGATCGCACTGAATGAGTTGTGTTGGCTCGGGCATGTGCTACGAATGACTGATCACTGCTTACCCAAAAGGACCTTGTTTTACCCTGCCAGATGTAGGATGGTGCAAAGCTCGAAGTGGACAAAAGTTGACTTGGCAGCGGGCAATGAAGCCACTGACGACCAAACTGGGTGCCGTTGGTCTGTCTCGCCTTCCGGGCTGCAGTCCACGTGACTCGCCTTGTGCTCGGCTCGAGACTTTACAGGACATGGATCGCAACCGACACCAGTGGCGCGTCTGCTGCCGTCTCCTAATCGGACTGCCTGTTTAACGTGTGTTTGGTGCTTAGTTATCTGCGGGGTAATGGCTGATTATGACACGGGGCAATGAAAGCCGCAAGTAAGCTGTCTTGCCGATGCCGCGTCACCTTTGCATGGTAGTCAGCTGTTTGTGATGGTATGGTCGTAACAAAATGTAGCACCTTGACCCCGAGTGTTTGTTTAGGGCGTTAAGGTTTTACCGCAAGTCCCCCTTCTCTCCCTCTTGTTGTTATTCATCCCCGTAAATTGTTGTGGTGGCACGGAGGCGAAACATGAACTCAAATGGCTTATGTGTTGCTGTTGTTGATGATAATGATGCAGACCCTGAATACCCAGTTACACAAGCAGTTAAAAACAGCGATAAATAAGAAATGTTGGTGGACAAACTGTATGGTTTGATACCACTCGTTGTTCATCGACAGGATCGATTGACATAAAGTATTTGCTTACAGAGAATGCGGAAGGAAAAGATTGAATGAAAGCCAAAGTGCTCTCAGGTAACTCAAGTAGCGGTTATAAAAACCTTTCAGCTGCCTTTGGTGAAAACTTCGACAGTACAATGCAGCGGCCCTGAAAAAACAATACAGTGGGTAATTTCCAGATCGCATTAAGAACTGTGGAAGCCAATAGTGCTTTGGAAGGGCGAATGGATTGAGCGTCATGTCACCATACAAAATGCGATACTCTGTCTGCCACAACTGACGACGTTGTCCACGAAAAAAATATTCTACAAAACACGATTGAAAATGCCTAATCCAAATGAAGTAAGCCATTAGGGTCAAACGTTTGCTCTGTTGTCAAAAAGACAGGTGGTCAAAAGGGATTGAGAACAGGTAGGAAAACTTATGAACACCTAAGAAGATCAAGTACCCAGTCCGTGCGTAAATTTATCTGTTGGGGAAACAACACCGAGGATCACAACACTACGGACGGTGAACATCATGTACAGATGGAACACAAAACATATGTACACGTCCGGGAGTGATACCAGACATCACCAGTGGGCAAGGGAGACTGAAGAGAGGGTAAGGTTGGAGTGAACTCCAACTATGAACGGAGAGGTTAACTGGTGGCTGGAAGGATACGTGTGGGGGAGACGTCACTTATCTCTCTGATTCGATTGTTTTCGGTCACCAGCGGGTCAGCGTGGAGCGGTTTCTTCATTGGGATGTATTGCGATTGGCTCTGTTTCCCATCGCATGCGACTTCAACTACCGGTGCCGGGGGAGTGCAGTCCGCAAACGATTCAAGGTCGTTGTGCAATCCATCATTCACAGTACCTCGGCATTCTTCGCCATTAGGCTGTTGGTTGGTTCGAAGAGCAAGATTTAGCTCGGGTGTGCAGCCGGAAGAAGTGGATGCTAAAAGCGAGGTACTGGAACTTAAAGTAGCAGCAATAGCCGGATACTCGGTGACTGATGTGCATGGGATATCCGCAGCAATAAGGCTATCGGATATCAAATCATTGCGGCCAGTGTCATGAGCGTTAGTCTTAGACGTTTCGGTGGTCAAAGAGTGTCCAGTAGTATGAGTGGTTACGATGTGTTCTTCAGTTGAGGCCAAAACCTTTGGCAGCTTCGAGCAGTGACCACCAGAGAAATGAGGGTTGATGGTATCCCCAGCATCGGTGGATACAGAAGCGCAGGTGCTCCACGTGGGGTTGAGCGAGGAGTCAAGACTAGTGAAACACTCCGACGCGGATGCGCCCAGAGACATGGTTTGTAATTCATTTGTTATAAGCCTGACAGGTGCAACCATTTCAGCCGTCCCGTGGCGACCCAGCTGCCTGTAAACTATGCTTGTGGTTTGAGGTGGTGGAGTTTTCACGGAGTCAAGCAGTTGAAGCCCATGCTGAGACTGGGCGAAGGGAGTCCCGGAGTGGCTGGAAAAAGTTGAACCAGTTGGAAAAGTATAGCCAACTGTGGACTGTGCCAAAATCATAAGCTGCGGATTCGAGTAGATCGACTGGGAAAAGAAGGAAAGCAACTTTTAAGTAGATTGGAGACGCAAGTTGTGGTTTATTCACTTATAACGAATGATGGATGGGATAATGTTGTGAAAGCCAGAAATGACATGAGAGATCGAGAGTTGAACTTAGAAAGTGTGCTTATGGAGAGGCAAGTATTCAAAGTTTAAGAGAGGTCTGTCGATAAATCTCATTTGGATTTTAGCAATCAACGCCTCGATGACAGACTTGCAGTTCGGTGTGAACCATACGTTCATCAAGTTAATTGCGGCTGTGATGTGAAGTACCTCGGATACACGACCGGGCATCCGTCCATACGGACAGAACAATGCCCAGAGTCGCCACAGAGACGCATTACCAATACAATGCTTGGTCATTAGATACAAAGTGGACGTCAAACTCTGTCGAAACGATACCCTAAGGAGCCTAGAAAACACCACGCAATGATAGCCGTAGTAATCGTGATCAGTCCAAGGATACGGGAGCAAAGCAAACAGAGAGTGGCTGTGTAATACCAGATATTGCCATGGCCGTAAAGAGAATGTATTCATAAAGAACATAGGTGACGATTGGGCGTGAGCACAGTAGCTCCGCCGGATGACCCGTGTGCTTAGTGTATACGTCTGTGTGGTCTTCCGCGACGTTTCGCTAACTGGATCCACCCATCGATTTAAGCGACCATCAAATGTGATACCCTTAGTTAACTCATGGTAACACGCCCAATTTGTCCTGCTTACACTAGTTTACTACCTGATGAAATTATCGAAAAGTGGTCGTATTCCCCTATGTTAATGGGTAGAGGTTTGCTAGGATAACCGTGAACCTTCAGAGGTTCAAGGAACACCAGAGTTAGGAATGAAGGGAGTATCATGGATATAAATGAAGCCATTTGAAAGCAGGAGAGTCATAATCACGAAACAACGCATTAATCTCGAATGGAGCGACTATTGAATCAGGTATTAGTAGGATGAGATTGTGTGATTGAAACAACGATCGAAGTAGTAAGGTGTAGGCATACGTCTGCAAGTCGGAGTCGAGTCTCCTTCCAATTGGCCAGATATTAGCAAAGCACTCAGTTCAGTCGATGGAATATTAAAATTATCAACTAACTGGTGACTGTGCAACGCTCATTTTGCACTTATCGCCCGATTCTACCAATCGTTGAAAATGAAGATAAAGATGGGACAGTTAGGATGAAACACATTGAATGTATGGCTACCAAGTTAGTGTTCTCTGCAAAACCTAGCGGTTCACATGGGCGACGTTAGAGATTAGGTCCTAACAGATGAGATTGCATCGATTTACTAGAAAAGAGCTATTGCCATAATGGAACCTAAGATAGAATACCGATCCCATCATCCACATGCTTGACACCAGTTTAGAACTGAAGGCATTAAGTCGAAACATGGAGTTAAACATCAACATGACCAAAGACCACGGTAACCATGGATAAGCGGACATGTGCAAACAGGTTTATAAGTTCCGAACACTGATAGAATGGATGGTACCGGTCGCAATGCCCACATCCAGAAGTGTCTTTATGTCCTAGCAGCCTGACTCAACCAGATGTGGTATTGGTTAACAAAACACAACGCACCAGTGGGGCGTAAGAGGCCATGTTGTCAGACATTAGATAACAAACATCAGTAGCCGCAGAGCTGTCCAGAGAAGTGAAGCGAACTTACGCGAATGCAGCGCAGTCGTCCGGTCGCAAGCATACACATTCCGTTCTGTCAAAGTGCTCTCTGTATTGAATGAGTCAGTCACTCGCATGAGCCCACTCTTGACTAGTGTCAAATGAGTTGGAGCATTGGTAAAAAAACAGATCAGTCACACGAACCATTGCCGTCAATGAACGCTGTAGACGCCTAGTCAGGCATCATTTCAAAAGGAAAGTGCTTCGTGAAATAACTATTTTCCGTCTTTCTAAATCTCCAAAGCCTCGGATACTCAACCACTGTTCAGACGCGTCGGGCCAGGGTAACATTTTCCACGTTCCATCACACGTTATTCCTATCAGTATCGAGATTATCAACCTCGCTACATACTGAAAATCGAGATACTATGGGTCAGGAAAAGGATACCCAGTAAATGTGACAGGTAAACAGCATGGAATTTTTGCGCCTCGTCAAATATAGGAGAGTTATCGATATGCAAAGGCACAAAAGCCATAATAAGAATCAAGGTAAATGTTTTAGACCAACAGACAATGGTGAACTGAGGTGCACCAGCTGTAGCTTATGGTGAATTTGAGTCCAGCGCGGCCAGTTAACGCGATACAAACGCTTTGGTCGGTACACAGTTTGAAGAAAGTGACCACCACTGTCAACGCAATAAGTGTCAAACCTGAGACGGTTTTTGAAGTGGTGTTCTCATTCTGGTAAAGATGAATCGCTTGAGCGATGCAATTTACAAAAGTCACAACATCTGGTCATTCAAATGAGATAGAGTAGCGCAAATAAATCCTATCTTGCATTCATCGGGAAGATACATGGAGACGACAAACACCTTGCAACCGACAGCTCGATTGATCTGCACAACGATAACCGATCAGTTGGATCTAATCGTGTAAGAAAGTCTTTGAGCAGTACAGCTGAGAGTAGCTACAACTTTGTAAAGCTCGTGACTGCGTAAATTTCGTCTTGGGAATCTGAACTAAGTGTAACTTCAAGTGTAACATATAACCACCATTAGGAATGATGGCTTTGAGTCATCACACACAGCAACTGAAAGTGTACAGTGAGAACAGCTCACGAACGCAGACCAATCGAACTCAGAGTAGGAACCCAGGAAGGCCAAATAGGTAATAGATTCATAGTTTTGAAACACGAACTGATTTTTCGCTAGAGTAAAAAACGAAAGGGTGGTCTCTTTTAATTTAACTCAAGACTTCAGCAAAAAAGGAGAATAACTGAGTTAAGAACCGATAATGCAATGCAGTACGTCCGGATAATGACACTCCCTGGTTGTCCATTTCGACGGGGTTATTCTGTTCGAGAGGGGGAGACTAGCCTCAAGTACTTAAGTTACAAGTCTGACTAGCGGCGTCGGTTGGTGTGTTCCGACTACCTGGCTACGGTCCTAAGAATGATGAACGCGTTTGCTTGAATACGCTTGCTGATATGGCGAAGAGCAGACTTCAATGGCGTTTGTGTTGTGAGTTTCTATGTCCATGCTCCCTTTAGATTCCACTCCAATAAAGATATCATACCAAATGCATAAGATGATATTTAGCGTCATATAACTTGCTTTCTAAAATTTTCTTAGTTTGTAATGTTTGGTATTCTATAGTATTGCGGTACATTAGCTACGTGTGTTTCTCATTCTCAGCGAATGTGTACTGATGATGATGATGGGTCTGAACAGAAATGCAAGGGGAGGTAAGTTCAACAAAGTGTGATTGCAACTCTTGTGAGAAAGAGGTGGTGGTCGGAGGACATCCTTCAACTGCGCTTGGTAATACACGTGCGACCGATATTAATCACAGGCGAGATACAGAGAGTTGTCAAGCAAATCCGATAGCTTGAGGTGGGTAGCAAAAAATCCTTATTCCATTCGAACTAGGCTCGTAATCCCTAATTTGTTACCAATAACTGGGTTTATGAGGAAGAAGATCAATGAGTTCAGAGCAAAGCGTATTTAGACCGAGCTCGTCTTAGTTCTTGCTGACAGTGCATTTGAGAGCACAGAGAAAACGCCGCTCAAAGCAACTTAAAGTTAAAGAGGAACTAGAACGGTGGCCGAGCAAGAGTGAACTTAGGCAGTCGTAGTTCCAAAGTCACACTGAGGTAGGAAGTGGGTCAAGGAGAGTGGATGGATCGAATTCTGTAGATGCGTGAGGTCACACGAATCAAACGCGGCAAAGCAAGACAAAATCGAATTCAATCCGCACACATATAGATTTGTAAAAATGCTCAAAGTGGCACTATGATTATGAGGATGCAAAAATGATGAATCGAATAAGACGACTGAAGAGATGCCGGACCCCTGAGAGTACTAAGGTCGGGCAGCCGAATCAATGACGGGGGTAGTTGACAGAAAACTGAGAAATATGGAGTGCAGAAAAACATTTGATAAACTGCTCATTTATAAGTGATGGCTTACAGATTGTGATTGCGGGAAGGAGGACGCGTACTGCATGTTGGACGAAGAGCAGAGATGAACTCCTGTTGACAGGTCACTAGCGGGAGAGTGCTCAGCTACTCCACTATCGACATACACGTAGGATGGGCAGACGGATACACCGGGAATCCGAGACGTCAAACCAATAGGTGGTTTTGAAGTACTGTGTCCGACATCAAGAGTGGCCGGATACGTTGTGGTGACAACACCGTGTGAAATTTGGTTGGAGGGGATTTGAGTTTGTGGAGGTGGCCCAATAAGCGGTGTGGCACGATTGGAGACGACGGAACAAGAAGAGTTCAAAGCTCCAGGGGGAATCGCGGGGAAAGAAATGGGTATCATGGATGCGGGACCTGAAGTGCCGTTCGGTAACAAACCTATGAAAGTAAGGTTTGTGCACAAATATTGATGATAACTAGAGTGATATGTAGCGTAGATCAATGGCAACCGCTCGTATGGTAACTTTTGTCTAAAGCTCGCTCGGTTGTGTAAATCCAAAGAGATAAAATAGAGGAAAAATTAAACATGATTCAAAGGCGATGTTCTTAGGAATATGAGCAAATCAATACTTAGGGATTGGTGTGGTTTCTGAACGCCTACTTGCATGAACTGGATGAAATTCAAATGGATATAAACATCGTATCCACAGGTCTGGTGACGACAAATGTGAATTCCTACCATCATCTCGCATAAGTGACATTCGGAGAAGTAGTAGTACAGTTAGCGACTTGTGCAGCATGCGCACCATCCGCAAGAAGAATTTGAATAAAGAGCCGAGTAATAGAGGCGTACGGAGGACACATAACCGAAGTTGACAAACGCAAAAATAACAAAAAAATGGTAGTCGATAGGGAGAACAATTAGATCGGACTAACCGGATGACAAGACACCTCGAGTGTGGGGAGAAGCGGCTTGCGTTTGAAGATTTTGAAAAATCACATGCGGCTGGTTTAGCGGCGGCAGCAATGGTGTTGTGAGGGAGAAAGACTGCACGAAGGGACTCGTTTGGTGCTGAGCTAGAGATAGAGCGCCACGTTGGAAGGAGGTTGGATTCGTTAATTGGATTGGCTGTCTCGGAAACTGGTTGTTAAAGGACAATTGATTTTGGAACATCAAAGCGGTGGCACTGTGTGCGGAGGTAATGACTCTGCGACGGGTGTTTGCCTTGTCAGCAAGCTTACACATGACTGGAGCTGTGTTATCACCCAACACTAGTTTTTCAGCGTTCATTTGCTCGATTGCTCTATCCGCTTGTTCGGCAAGTGCGAACCTAACAAAGCCAATGCCTACAAATGAAACGGAACGGAGTTAGTACAAATGCAGCGTTAACGATAGTAATCAATATGTCCTACCGAACGCTGATGATTGAGAAGTCCATCTGATAGATGTATTGATGTACGGCAGCACAGATCTGTATGTCGTCTGAAAAACTACATGAGCAAAATGAACGATGCTGTCTAACACTAGCCAATTTGTCACCGACCAACAGTCGATGTCCGATGGTTGATTGCCGCAGCGGCATCGACCTCCCAGATGGTAGGCGTCAAGTGGCAATAAAGGAGCGCTTCGACGATCGTTTTTTTAGATGTTATCTAGATAATCTCATTATTACCGGGTGTATCTATGTGCCGCCTAATTCTACCTTAGCTGAAACAAGCGCCTTACAAAACATTTCATGCCAACCTGCGAACTGCAAGATAAGCGGGAGACCTCAACATGCCTGATTTGTCATGGTCCCTTAACAGTGTCCGTACTAATAGCTTCGCCTCTACTATGCATGCAGGTAGATGGACTCGGCGTGTTATATTTCCCAGCAGGAAGGATCAAACTTTAGATCTGACCTTTACCATCGGCCTCACTGCAGCTTCCGCCGAAGCCCTGGATCATTTCCCCGGTAGTGATCGCAGAAGTCTCCTTCTGATTAAGTGTTAAAGTTCAGTTGCAAAAGACTTCTCAAAAATCACACAGATCCTACAAAACTGCCGACTGTGGCCTGTTTGACAAGTTCACTCGAACAGTGCAGTGGGATACATTCTTCCTCACCGATTGCAGCAGACGAGCTATATGACATGTATCGCTTTCACGATGCGTCGATTACTGTACATCATGACGTATGTCTAATGACTTCTAATTCTTAGCACAGCACCATAAATAGGTTAGTAATATAGGGAGGGTAAATCAAGCTATGTAAATTAATGATGAAAAGCGAGCACTCGGTAGCCAAAACAGAAAATACGAGCTATTTAGATTGTTGAAGCACAAAACTGCTAAGCAGAACCTAGGCGCTATCCCGCTCCTGTCGACTGGTAACTGCATAGTGAGTGATCCAGTTCGTACAAACGTACAACAACTACTTCGCTGCGTCATTCGACGAAAATAGCGGACCTGCGACATCACACGTACGACCAACTCAACCATATCCGGCTCCATGGGAGAAATCTTTAGTGATCCCGCATCATACGTCAGTTTTGTCGATGATGGAGCGTCGTATAAAGTCAAAAACTGACGAATTCTCACTATCTCAAAATTCAATACACAATTCACAGCCTGTATTCCTGAACTCCAGGTCATGCATCACTTGACAGTTAGAATTTCTAAATAAGCTTATTAATTCACGTGATGACAGATTAGCTAGCTTGAGGTACATAACGCTTTTGGTCATGCACCTGATAGGCGTCTTCTAGATAAACTCCAGACGTACGGTACAGGGGATTCTTTGCTGGTTTAGTTTAGACTGCACCTCTCTGATCGCTCACAGATAGTACAATCAAAACAACAAAATCTCAACCGAAGGCTGTCACTAGTGGGGTTATAAATGCAGTGTACTTGGTCCACCGCTACTCTTACTGTACGTGAATAACACGACACAACTGATCTTTTTGCCGATGACATTACTCACTCTATAATGTCAGTTTAATCGATACAATAAATGAAATCCGGCTCAACCTCTACTCATTTCAAACATGGGAAATGTCGTTCAAGACGGACAAATGCAACACCATGTCCCAACGCTCTTACCCTTAGAGGTAAATCACTTACCCTCTGTCAGAAGATCCACGGCTTCATTACTTGTGTTTTCTCGAATTCTTAGAACAAGTATATAATGCATCAGGTAGAGTAAAACAACGTATTGCGTTGCTATTCAGAAATCTTATCCTACGAGATGTCATTCGTTCAATGTATGAACAGTATGCGCATCCTTTGCTTGGATGCTGCTCGATGGTCCAAAGCCACTCAAGGAAGCATAATCGTATCGTCACAGAAAAAGTGCAGCAAGCATTCACCAAGCAGCTCATGAGCGCATACTCAGTCTTATCTTACTCTGAGCGATGTGATTTACTTTAGCTAGACCCAATATGGCTGCGACCAATAAAAGCATACGGCTTTTCAATATCCTACACAAAAACGTACATACGTCTAGCATCGATGTGTCGCTTTTAAACCCAAATGGATACAATACGCTGAATAAAAAAATTCTGTAGGTAAAGAGGGAAAACACAGACACATCGAGAAACTTTATCTGAACCGATACTCCAGAATATGGAACAAATCGACGATCGACATCCGTATCAGTATATCGGAGTACAATTTTCGTAAAAAGCTTGACAAATTGCTTACAGCTAACAATGTAATTACACTCCTGGGCTGTTCCACAGCTGTCCAGCAAGAGTATGAACAAGGTCCAGACAGTGTGTATAACCGAAAGTTGCAAACAGTCGTATAAGCCAGATCAAGAAAGCAGCTGCAGTTCCTCAATTTACTTTTATCCTCTATTGCACTCCCCAGTTCTACCTGGTCAGAAAACTCACCAATGACTAGTGGCCCCACTAGCACGTCGATGGGTCGGACATCCAGACTTTATGTTATTCTCCTCAGCCCATTTTGGCCTCCAACAATTCCTCTTGATTTTATTTGGCTTCATTGTTACCAGAAGTTAGCTGGACCAATGGCAAATTGGTTAGCCGGACGCACAAATGCAGTTAATTTTCTCTTCAATCATAACCTCACTTCTGTTTTACCTGCTTGCGGAACCAGTGACGCGTTGGTAGGTAAAACACCTAGGTCCGCTTATTATGTCAAGCCACCTTATCCCCTAGTACTAAGCTTTGTTGTTACTTGATTTTATCTACCGACAAATTAATAGCATTGATATGATTTGTCTTCAGGTCTAGTTTAACATATATTAAAGATCTCATTGATTTCCTCTTGTTCCAATTTTTAAGCATTATTGATTTATTAATTTAAGGATCTGCATTCTTTTTCTCATCAGACAACTCAATCGTCTTGAATAACCGGCCACTCTCAAGATAAAGTTACGTAGTTGCTAAAATATTCCCCGTTAGTCAACTTCCGTAATGTGCACGAAAACTTTCCACTAACGAAACCCATTCCGCTCTGTTTTGTACCCATGGACCCTGCAAGATGATCCACACGTCCTTTGCATTTGCAATCTCACGCTTTTATATAAGTCCTTATGAAATTCTTGAGTTACAATGCACTTACACTTACTCTACGTATTTTCTCTTTACGGCGTTCCCGGACCGCAACTCGTTCGACGTTGTGATGAGATGATTGCGAAACCAAATAATGATATATTTTCTGATGAAACATGTAACGGAGATCTGGTGACATTCGAAACCAAATTCGCAACTGATGAAGCACAGATTTTGGAGGAAACCTGTACATACTGACTTCGTCTCTGTGAGAAATATGCATTTTGAGTTGGAGCAAACGATCACCATGCAAGCAATTGGTAGACCAAAAGAAGAGCGGAGCGCATAGTCACGTAAGCATAATGGACACGGGCGCACATCACAGCGTGTGATGTTTTAGAATCCACGCAGCAAAACTAGCATCCCGCGTCCGAGTTTGTCAGGGGAGCGCAGAGCCACAAGACGTATGCTGAGCAGGGACGCGACGCTATAAAAATCCAATCTCGACTGTTCTATCATGTCCCCATGAACTACTACGAATGCAACAAGAGTGAAGTCAGGTTGACTTCTCTAAACCAAATTATGTCAGAAGACGAACAAAAACAAAAACAAGCGAAAGCAATGGTAAAAGGATGGAGTATAAAAGTCGGAAACATGAACCTGTGAGACGATCTTCATTTTCCAACAGTTTCACTGAAGTTATCTGCCCGAATTTGCGGAACAACTCCTCTAACTTTTCTTTTGTGAAGTCAAGTGGTAAGTGCCTAACGTAGACGTTGTACATATCTTTTTCATTTTCATGGGCAAATTTGACAAGCAGCTTCCGCCCACTGGCTTTTGCATACTCAATAATGTGATTTTTGGCCTTTTCAGCATCTTCCTCAGTTGAGCAGTCAATGAATCCATAACCTGAAAGAGATAGTAGATAGCAAGTTTGAAAACATCGACCGCTGGCAGCAAACAGAACGGAAAGCGCAAATATATCCGCACAGCATTATCAGTATCGAAGTTTTCAGAACAAAAGGCATTTCAACAGAACATAATCATCACAAGCTGGGAAGTGAGTAGGCCGAGATGGAAAAGATAGTTTAACTTTGCCATGGCATCACATAAGACAAATAATGAGGGAAACAGTGTTCAATTCGAGAAGCGCAACGGTGGCGAGGTCACTAAGATCCGGAAAATTTGTAGCTCAAATCAAAGTTATGAATAATGAAAAACGAATTTATATGGTTTAAGAAGCACTGCTTTACAAATGCTGTTGGGTGGTTTGGTGGGGTTATGGAAAAAAGTAAATAGAAAGCACCGCTATGAAAAGAATGACTTGTCGTTTGTTATGCTGTAGTCCTGCAATCCGTGTACTTTCATAGCACCCACAGGTAACAGCAAATAAATCTAAGGTATAGACCAGGGGTAGGATGCAGACATAGTACTACGTAACAAAGTGTAAGTGGATGAGTGCGTCATCCAACAGCCAGTGTCTATACAGAATCGACCGATTCAAGAAGAACATTCCACGGGTGGCATACAAGAATGGAAAAGAAATTCCTGCAGCACTCTAGACGGATACACCGTTCTGCGAGTTTCAATGACTAGCCTCTCAGGTTTGTACTACTGCTGAGTTGCAGTAATTAGCGGCACACATGATGAGGGTCATGCAGAATCAAGTAGGTCATTAGCAGGTTGCCTCGTAATCGGCGATACGGTCCGCTGAATATCCCAAATCGTTTCATTTGCTGCTCTTATTTGAGATACCGCGTTCCAATGACATACTTGGATACCCGACGTTGAGGTTGCTCCAATGCACTGAGGTCGCGTTTCAGCCATAGATGCCAGGATTGAATTGCGTATTCGACATCAGGGCGAACATACACACTGAGCGTCTATCGGAAAATAGAGATGTCTATATGTTTAAACGCCAGTCGCAATAACCCAACGTGTTGGTACAAGCTTTCAAAGCCGGGAACAATCTAAGTCAACCTGAACCAGCACACCCAGTTCACGTTCGACAGCAGTTCGCTGTGGTACATACGTCTCGAGCTTGTATGAGTAATTGAGCTGGTGTCGTATGAAAAGCACCTTGCATTTACTCAGGTGGAACTGCAGTAAATCTTGGAGTGACCCCCGACATACCGTGTCTAGATCATACTAAAACACATACTGGTCGGCATTCACCTGAATCCTGCGCCAAATAATGACGTCGTCGGCAAACAGTAGGAAGTTTTAAGCGATTGCATGTGCGAGGTCACTAATTAGTTTCAAACGTCAACGTTTAACCACCCACACTGAACCGCAAATGAACAGTGTAATTTGAGCCCATGGGTCGATTTTCTTTTTCTTTTACACTTAAATATGACTGCAATGGTCTGAAGATGTATCATCGAAAACAAATGTTCACCTGTGGTCTCGTGTTTTAGTATTCTAAATGGGAATTCTCAAGTTGCTTAAACTATCTAAGCCTCCCTCAGTGGTGAGATCTCAATCGGTTCCTGAGGTTCTCCGCAAAGCTTGCTGAAGCCAAAACCTGTGTTTAATTTTTCGATGAGTGTGTTGAGCGTAATGAGTATCCTACCAGATTTTGGAAGCAGCTACGTCGTAATCTGATTTACCCCAATAGTAAGACGCTTAGAAGACATGCACTTAACCAACGTGATACGGTACAGTCCAGGATAGCCGAATTCGAAAGGAATTTAGCACAATGCCGAACCGCACTGGAGGATTTAGCTTCAGAGGAAAAACATATGTTCTTGGAATTATATTCAGTCCAATACAAGATGCAGTGTGCAAGACTGCACGCCTTTCAGCGTCAGTCAAGTCGACATTCCCGGCAGCCATGCTAAAGAGCAAATTTTCTACTGAACCATTTGTTGGTTCACGTAATAAGGATATGCTGCCACCGCTGAGCTCGTCTATGGTCATTTATCAATTCGTGCGCTTGCGGCGAACGACAAGGCATTCATCCTGCAGATATGGAGAGAGCTGTTAGGTGTATTGACCAAGGCTTTAATGTTAATATCGGCAAGCATATTCCCAAGTGGTCACGCAGCCTGATGGAGGCTGTGGTGTGAGAATCGTGTGAATCGGGAAACCAAGATAATTCGGCAATCACAGGAAATTTACTGAGCACTGGCAGCCAAGTCAATCCCCATTGGTTATTCACTGTCCGAATGTACAATCAGGTGCCTCACGTTCTCAAACTACTGGAAGCGATGGTTAAAGATCGAGGGCGGTTGCCGCCCTGCGTACGGAAGTGGTCAACGGTGACTGTAAATCCATCGTTATAGCACAAACCGCACCAAATGACAACTGCTTGTTCCTCCATCGACAAAATACGGTCTTGTTTTCGTCGCATATCTGTAACTAACGAGAATGTACAAAAGGACAGAGCAATCTCGTAATCTTTAGAAGCATAAATCAACCCAATGATGTGCAACTTGGAACAGCTACGCTATTTGACAAAAATAGTCAGAATCTGAGCCAACCTATAAAGAAATAAATGCATAAGTAGCGTGATTGGCTTGAATTTGCTTAATATAACTTGATACTGCAGCTGGAGAGTATCGGAGCAAATCGTTCGTTCGTCAAAAGAATGGATTTTCCATATATATTTTGCTTCTCCTGAACGATAACAAACTACTGAGCAACTGAGTAACCGTCATCAGAAGCAACCCGCTGCGTCCGTACTCTACGCCGATCGAGTTGAGAAGGTCAACAATGTCCCCCCAACATTCAACGAACACGATGCGGAGACTGAATCTGCTTACCCTTTGACCATCGACCAGCCTAGCATAAGTAGCACCGAAGGCGTACAGAAAGTGCAAGCTAACATGGCTCGATTGAGCACAGTGGTGAGCAAACTACTGCATCACGTTGAGATCTTGCATCTTCACAATGGTGATAAGACAATGAAAGTGCGTGGATAATCGAGGCGATATTCACAACGATGAGAAGACAACGCGGTGTCATTTAATAGTAAATTATTAGTGGAAAAGAGAACTTTTGCAGAAATGCTACTGATTCGTGCCAGCAGCTCATGCGCCAGATTGTCTAAACAAGTCTGGGAAAGCATTAGACAGTTGCTTTGTAAGTGGTACGCATCCCACGGTTCCTAACACGGCCGGAGGCGAGTGGGGGCTTCATTCGCTGGATCGTTGTCTGAGGTGGAGCGGCATGCAATTTACGCACCCAGCTTAATTCTCTATCTGAGAAACCGGATCTCGTCTGCGCACTGCTGACAAGTCCCGAGAAGGTGAAAAAGCCACCGGATGTTGCGCCGAATGTTGGTAGCTATCTGGCTATCTAGCTGTAAGTGGTTCTATTTACTCTCGGTAAGATGAGAACAACGACAGATGTTCCAGAGTTGCCGCCAAATGACTGAAACAAGCTGCAATTGAAAAGAAAAGAATCGAGGGCAGCGAGTTGCAGAAAACGTATTAAGATCACTGAATACAATGCAAAATATGGTGAAATAGACGGCAATGTGTTGAGCTCGGTATCGCATCTTCAGAACTGTACATAAAGAAAGAGATAAACGACCAATGGCATCGGCAAGGTCGCGTGAGCGAAAGAAGGATTGACTCGGGGGCTATACTATTAAAAGTAAGGTGCGGCCCTAACAATTGGCTTGATTGAAAGCGAGACTTCGAAATCAAACTGCAGCCCTTAGTAATAATTTGGTTTATTCACGAGGCTTGAGTTAAGTCATGCGGCACTATTCTGAGTAGCTTTGCATCCCTTGGTCTAGTTTAGAAGCCGAGTAGTGCTGTTACGGAGCAGTTGAACGACGGTGCTGGGAAGAAAGCGCACGGAATGCAAAAACGCGCATGATAGCAATGCATTAGGAACTGGAGAAGATGGAAATTTGCTCCAACAGTATGGGCAGCAGAATATAACGCAATTGGAAACCGGCGCCAACGGGGATGGATGGAAGAAAATTGAAACGGAACAAGAAAGGAAATGCACATATGCGTCATTGAATTCACGTAAGCCGTCGCTTAAATGGCAAATTTTACGATGATTACATTACCCTTGCAAGCCCCATTGCTAACCATCGCCTTGCACGACTTCGGTTGAACAACGTCCTTCACCAAACACCTGACAGTTTCATCGGTATCTGATTCGTTCAGGCCACTGATGTATAAGTTCGTCCGGGAAGTGATCATAGGTTTGTTACGGCGACTCTGTGAATGCAGATAGAGCAGAAACACAAAAAGTTTATCTTGGGTATTCGACTTCGGTGAGAGAAGCGAACAGTAAAGAAACAACCGACCAAATGCACCTGGTCCTGTGGTAAAGCACCAAAGTGTCGTACAGGGTCAAATTTGTGCACACACGCCTCGGGGGCTGCCACCAATCCCGTTTGCGGTTGCGAGTGAAGATTCGTGCATTGTTGAAGATGATTGAGACCACCATTACACAAAGAAGGTAATAATGGTTGAAGGTATGGAAAGGATTGACCATAATTAATGGAGGTGTTCGACAGGGGTAGGGATTGAGAAACATGCCCGTGCTGGTTGAACTGCGGAAACGGGTAGGAATGAGGCAAGTTTACCGCAGGTATCTGCCTACCGGGGAGGTTAGACTCAACGGAGGGTTGAAGAGCGTATCCCATGGTCTGATGCAAACCGTAAGAAGCGGACGTTGGAAGTACAGGGGAACCGGACAAAACAGATGACTGAGGGGTATTCTGAGCGAGTCGTAGATACTCCGGGTTTAATGTTCCCAAAACCATGCCGTTCGATTCCATGTTACCGAGATGCAGCTGCTGAGCATTGGCTACTGTCGGGGGAATAGGTACGGCGGTAAAAGCTGCCCAGGGCTGTTGACCAAAACCAGCCACGGAAGCTCCGGAGGGGTACTGCGAAGAATGAGAAAATAAGGCATAAAAATGGGAACACACAAACAGCATATAGTAGATGAAAAAGGCATTTGCTCAGGCATATATATACAAAAGCGAGGGTTCGTGATGCATGTTGTATCCACGTCCATGATTCAAGTCCATGTTACAAAATAAGTTCAGGTTTCCATAAAATAACCCAACAGGTGAACAGCAGTTCGCTATTACACCAAAAAGTATTGGTACAAAATACTGGTGGATCACTGATATTTTCTGAGTCCACAGGCTAGCAACAAAGAAAGATGAAACAGGTGTGTGAAAAAAGAGTAACTTACCATTGAAAAGTCCTAGAACTAAAGTACCGTTGAATCGAAGGCCATGATTCGAGAGGTCTGGAAAAAAGCATAGTGGTGAGAAAATGAAAATGAAATGAAATGTGTCAGCTTATACGCCGTAACGGCGCTTCGCTGCCGCGCGACCACCACCAGTCGCGCGCGGGCTGAGTATACCGCGAGGACGCCCACCCCTACGCGGATTCGAACCGGTGACCTTATGGTTGGAAAGCAAACGCGCCGACCACTCGGCCACCGGCCGACTCATAGTGGTGAGAGGCCGTACATAATTAACAAACATGGTTTTACAGATATTCGGGTAAGTGTAACTCATTATTAACATTCTACACAGTAATCAGAGATGAGAACGCTGGCTAATGTACGGCAATACAGTTCAATTTGGTCGCAGCAAAAAATCAAAATAAAGCAAATATTATTATGCGCTGTTATATTTCATGCAATGACAACGAAATCGTGATTAAAGGAGGCTAAGAGGGATGGGGCAGAAAAAAAAGGCATTACAGACGTAAGGTCAGCTCCTGGCCATGTCGACAAGTATCTCCAGCCAAATGTGTTCCTCGTCTTTCGGACCCCAACCACGAAGTCGAGAAAGATGCCACACCGGCGCCTCACTGCCAAGCAACCACTACTAGTCGCGCATGGGTTAAGGATAATGTGAGGGTCGCCCACCCCCCCCCTGTATGTATGTATGTAATCTCAACAGTCTAGAAACTAGACATAGAGCCAAGAAAACCATGGAAATCAGTGTATAAGAGACAGTCATTGCGTCATAATCGTCATGGCATGCTAGCTGAAGGTGGGCAACACACTTCAGCTAATATGCCGCAAGAAAATGGAATAATTTGACAAAAAATACAAAACAAAACATTTTTAGTTTGTTTGTCACACGCCGGTTTTACTCTTTTTTTGTCATTTTCAATTTTTGTAGAATTAAACATGTGAATCAACACAACACTGTACACAATTCTTCCATTGATTCCGGTTGCGGGCCATGTCTTCAAGTGTCCTAAGCCATTGGCACTCGCCATCTTTGGGTCCCCATCCTGGAAGACGTACGGGTCCAACAGCGGCTAGACACGACGTCAGCGATTTCATGTGCTGCCGCCAAGTGGAAGGCTGACCACCACGCGGTCGCTTCCAGCCAGGTCCTTGACGAGCGAATAGAGCGCGACGCGGTAGACGCTCAGGCTTGAAGCGGTGATATCCGGATTCGAAGGCAGACGCTTACTCTGACCACACAGATGGACAGCCAACCGTCTCATTTGGGCGCGTTTTTGGTCACTTGCAGAAGCAAAAAGTTAATATGAAAATAAATGGCGTGATCTGTCCATATATGCAGTTAAATAAGCTTGTATTCACTGTTCTCACTGTGGTCTTGTAAACACGGCCTTTCAGACCGAGGGAAACCCCTTTCTGACGCCACAGATGTCGTAGATCCTAAAAGCAGTTCTAGCTTTGGCAATGCGTGAACTGACTCCAGTGGTTATGTACCCATCCTTGCTGATGCAGCTGCCAAAGTAGATGAATTGATCAACTACGTCGAGTTCCTCGTTAACAAGGGTCATCAAGTGGCTGGGGGTCAAGTAACAACAATATGCACTTCAAGTTGTGAGGCGCATGCCAAATGATAGCAGCATCCTAGAGAGGTTATTCAGGGTTGATTGAGCCGACGAAATCCATACCACTTTATTCTGTCAAGAACATTGGTGTAGTTCATTCTGGTTAGACCTCATGATAATGACATCGTCCACGTATGCAATGGCATATGCTATTCCCTGTAGCATCGTATCCATGATTTGTTGAAAGATTGCCGGGGCCGACTTTAGGCCAAATGGTAGTCGTGTGTACTGGAATAGTTCAATGTAAGTGTTAATCATTAGTAACTCATCCGATTCTTCCGGCATTTCTATCTGGAGATATGCGCTTGACAAGTCCAGTTCAGACGTGCAAGAAGATCTTCAGGATGAGGTAGAGAGTACTGGTGGTCTTCTAAAGCAGCATTCACACCTGTAGAATAACCTGCACATAGGCGGATCTTTCCGTTTGGTTTCTTGACAATAACAGTGGGGCTGTCCATGAAGAGTAACTGGGCGATATGATAACTCCGGTTGACCGTAGCATGCCAAATACTTAGTCGAAGATTGGAACGACTGCATATGGAACCGGTCGGTTCGGTAAGAAGACTGGCTTTGCGTCTGACCGCAGGGACAATCCCAGATCATTCCGAAGCGCTTGGGGATATTTCCTGGATAGTCTCCGTCCAATTCACAGCTGCGTTGCTTAGTTTGTTGTACACGGAATTCAGGGGAACATCAAGCAGTTTCATATTGTTAATCCAGCGGAGACTGGGAGTCTTGTTACGTAGAAAACCCCTACAAACTGGCAGGCTTTGAACAGTACATATCAACAAATTTCCCCGATCAAGTCCAGCGGTCCTCCTAAAGCACTGATTGCAATCCGAGCTGTTCTTTGAACAGGAAGTTCACCGATTTCCTTCCAAGTTTGCTCGGATATGACCGTGATATTTGAGGCAGTGTCTACTTGAATGCGCACGGGTAAGTTGTTCACAACCACCGTTACGAAGCTTCTGCGTTTTGCAGCCTTAAGATAGTAAAAACATGATAAAACTGAGATATTTGTTTTATGGGTATAGGCTTTTTAGGATATTTGCTGGAGACGTTATTGTTGAAAGCAGCTGCACGGGAATGATTCTCCTTGAGATACCGCTTGTTGCATTTCCGACAAAAATGCTCTATGAAAAATCAGATTTTGACGAAGTGCCATTTCGCACATTGTCAGTATGCGGACGGTGGTCTGTTTGCCTTCAGGGTCTTGGACCGTCGCTGGACTTCCGCGCTGGTTTGACACTGCCAGCACATTTACGGGACATGGAGTGCGGCACTGAGCGATCAGACTTGTGTCATGTTCCGAGTTGATTAAACTCTGGAGTTCGGAGGCGATGAACATCAGGTTGACAGACAAGTCCTGCTTAATTTTGTTAAGCAGCCTCATGTGTATTTCTGCGTCCATAGGCGACTGTAAACTGCAAACGAAAATAACGGCTCTGAACTAATCGTCCGTCATTTCTTATAGCTTGAAACGCTCGCAATGAAATTGACGGAACTTGCGAAATCATCGGATGCGTATTTCACGAGTTTCATGCAGCTGTAGCAGACATTAACTAAGAAACTGTTGGCCAAAAATGTCATTTAGCAGAGACACAAGTTGACCGAAGGTAAAACTTTTATGGCATTATGGCAAAATAAGATTGAGATACTTGTCGAGCCCTATAGTTCCAAGCGTCCGTGAAAGCAATCTCCACTTCCATCCATCAAATTCATACGGCAAAATTCAGACCGGAAAACGTCTTCGTATCTTCTGAACCAAGAGTCAAAGGTTAAGCCAGCATGCGGATCATTTTGAAAAGCACAAATGCTGTTAGTGACGGCATCCACTGATGACTGCTGCTTTTCATTGTTTGGTCTTGCTTTAACCGCAAAACGCTGTTATTCTCGAGCAATTGTGTCTAGCTTTCTTCAATTTGCTTCTATTGATGTTGAAGTATTGCAGCAAGCTCCTCCACTGAAAACGGCATTTTTGGGTTCTTCAATCAAAAATTCGCCGTCGCCGATGGTTATGGTCACCAAGCTCGCACATAGCCGCTCTGATAGGCTGCTCGAGAAAACCTGTCCGCCTCGACTGACTGATCAAAAATGTAAGGTTGCAGGTGTAATGGTCATTAGACACGAGACAAGCAAAGTGGTACAGCATTCTGTTATTTGAGTTTTCGGTGACCTTGAACGTTCCCTGTTCTCCTATGTTCTTTACTTACCAACAATATTACATTATCAGACAACATCCTTTTCATCGGCCAATGCGGCTATGCTAGTGCATTTCTGGAAAGCTGTTGCATTTTGGTCCATTTGGGGTTCACTGATCTATCCCTTGGGTGCTCCTAAAACAGTTCTGAAGAGGGAGAGAACCGTACCATCCTCCCTGTACTAGCCAATAATACAGCGTCATTTAAGGTAGACCAAAAGAGTGAATAAAGTGCAAGTCGAGGTAAACAATCTGAGTTGAGCTGGACGAGATGTGCGAAGCGACGAGGCTGAGTAAGGTTACATTTGGAAGGAAAAGTCCTCTGACACGTCTGACACAAACTGAGACACTGTATCCGAACGCCATGGACACAAAAAAGCAGAAGGATTGCGACGATGGGCTGCAAAGTGTCTTCTCAGGCCCCAACATGTCCGAAACGAGCGTGGAGATAACGTGCAGAAATGCAGATGTGCTAGAAGCGGGGGACACATGTTGTGTTTGCGAGATGGCGACGACAGTCACCGTTAAAGAAAGTGGCTGGGGATCAGTGGTATCCGAAAGCTCAGTGATGTTGAGAGGAATAGTGCTAGTGACAGGGACTTGTAGGCAAGGTATCAAGTATATGAAATTCGGGTAACAGTGTAGGTTGTGGTGGAGGTGTGCGGCTCCATAAGTTGGGATGAGAATCTACAAAGGCCGCTCCATGCAAAGGTTTTGTATTGATACTAGCAGATTCACTGTCTTGGCAATGCAGGACGCGGGACGATGCAAAACAGGTTGAGCCATGCGCCGTGAGCCGTTCACAGGCCCCTATCTGCCGCTGAGTTTAGGCACAGGCACAGGCCTCAGGATAAGGAGAGGAAATCACTAAAGCTTGTGTAGGGAAGACGGGTGTCAAGAACCTTGTGATGCTTTGTGATGAGCTGCTTATGCGAGAGGGTAGGTGCCAGTGCATTTGCTGTAGCCTTTTCCTTATGTCCGGTACTGTACGCGTCGTGGATTGCTCATGAAGCGGACGCAATAAATCATTAGGTAATGATAGTGTGTGAGTGGATCCTTTCGCTATTCGTGCTAGATGCCGATTCTACTCTACGGACTAGCACACGCTAGACGTAGCGGCCCAGGAGGCAATGGAGAACACGCAATCCTCCGGATGAGTACGTTGACGATGTGTCAGCATACGTATAGTACCAAAATAATTATCGCAAACAGAGCAGGGA